GGCATAACAATGAATAATGGCCATAAGTTGTTGGAGAGTAGGTTTAGATTAGACATCCATAAGAACTACTTCACAGTTAGGGCGGCTAGGAGCTGGAACCAACTTCCAAGGCAAGTGGTGCTGGCTCCTACCCTGGGGGTCTTTAAGAAGAGGTTTGATGCCTACCTGGCTGGAGTCATTTGAGCCCAGTTTTTCTCCTGCCCAGGCAGGGGGTCGGACCCCACTTCTATAATTCTATGATTCTATGACCACTAGTGTTTATAGCTTTCTCAAGCCCTATTATAAGGCCTTCTCAGAGCTTGCCTAATATATTTCTTCAGTTGAATCAGGATGTCAGAGAGAGACCAAGTTTTTTTTAGGAATGAGTAGGAATTCGTTGATAAGTTGCTTTTAGATTTCAAGGTATCTGGAAGTGCTGCATGTGCCAGTCCATTTAAGGACTGGCAGTATAACACTTGTGTAGACTAAAGGAGCAGACATTGTGTACTATGCAGCAGTACTCATACTTGCAGTTAGATTGATTCTGTCATCTCTGGCTAACTTTTGAGTTTGGTCTCCTGCAACACCAGCAGCAAGGTACAAATGGAAAAGAGCAGAAAGGGAAGTTATGCATAGGTCCAATACAAAAAGGTAAAACAGGTGCCCTTTTATAAATGATTGGTGAATGAAAAATATTTCATTTTTTACAAGTTCTCAGTAGAAAGAAAGAAAGAAAGAAAGAAAGAAAGAAAGAAAGAAAGAAAGAAAGAAAGAAAGAAAGAAATCAGAACAACCTGGTAAAGTAGTTAAAATATAGATACCATTTTCCACACTTATCTAGGGCTGCTGCCACTTTTGGGTTTTGAGCCTATCAGTTGCTTAAGAGCAGAAATTGAGGCCCATAAAGCTATTTAGAAGCCTAACCCCCAGGTAATTTTAATGGAAGTTAGGCACCAAAATACCTTTGTGAATCAGGGCCCTTGTTATACTGGTATCTTAGGACAACTGACATGAAAAATTTTACAAGCTGTGCCCTGTAATCCTGTAAAGATTTATGCATGTTTAATTTTAGGCACATGAATATAAAACCAAACACTTATGTCAGACTTGGCAAATCAGAGCCTAGGATTTTGTGTATCTGCCGAACCTTTCTTTTTGACTGCTGAAACAGATCCTCTGCTCTTACGGTCTGATTCAAGTCCCAATGACTTCAAAGGGAGTGGACTCAGGTGATTACTGTCAATGCTGTATAATTCTTCCAATACAAATCAACCTCCAGAGGCAATTGACAAACCAGCAATCAGACAGCTACCACCAACATATATATGTAGCACATGGCAAACTTTTCATCCTAAAAGGGAAAAAAGTGGGATATATACTGTCATGTGACAATATATTTAGCTTCAAATGTCATCAAACAAAGCACTTATGTACACTGGAAGAAGGGGAGTTGGGAAATACATTATCAATGTTAGTCTAACTTTCAAACAGTGATAAGTTGAGCTGGTAATTAAACCACCAATTTGGTTTATCCTCGTCTCACTTTGGGAAGGCTGAGAAATAGGGGTCTGACTCTGCTCTTTCAAAGCTAAAGAAACCTCTCTCACAAACTCTAGCTGGAGAGGCTTGGGGCCCAACATTTCATAGCAGAATTCACCACAGTGCAGTGGGCTGGCACAAAGTATCACATGTCACTTCTCTTACGTGCTACACACCACTTAAGACCCTTAAGATGGGTTTCTATGGGGCTTAAACAAATAGAAGGTGCTCCACTGCACAGAGAACTGCAGCATTTGAGGTTCTATGATACCAAATTGCATCTCATGCATTCACTATATTGTGGCAGAAATGTTACCCATCACAGAGTCTAGCTGATGTCCCACTGCCTTCCTGAACCGATGGTAAACACATTAAATACATGCATTCTGCTAGAGCAAATGAACCCATGCTAATACCCAAATATACAGATCTCTACATCTGTATCCCATTGTAAACAATGAATATATACATACTAGCAAATTGCCCATCAAGAAGGATGGGGGGCTGGCAGGGACAGAGCCCAGAGTGCAGCCCTATGCCCCCACTCACCCTGTCCTAGTCTGTCCCCACCCCCCACCACTTCAGGCCTGACCCTGTTCACCCCCTCTCCCGTCGCTTCAGGCCCCACCCCATTCCCCTGCAGCAGTTCAGGTTTGGATCCGCTCTCCCCCCACCTCTCCCACTGCTGCTGCAGCCCTGCCACAGTGGCCCCAACCCTGTCATCCCGCCCCCCGCCCCCAACAGCAGCCCTGACCCCATTCCCCGCCACCTGTCACTGCCGCTCGCAGGGAGCAAAGCAGGGGAGGCAAGGCCAGAGGTGCTAGCCTTGTCCACCTCGCCCCGGCCCCTGCTCCTTCCCATGTCCCCGCCGTCATGGTGGCACTTCACCATGCCAGCTCCTGTCTGGAACGCTCTTGGAGCACTCTGATTGGTTGTTTCAGTCAGCCAATCAGAGTGCGATTAAAGCATTACGGACAGACAGACTAAGGCTTTTATATATACAGAACGAGCAGAATATTTGGGTATACC